GATGCGCTTCCCTCCACAGCCCAGCCTGCTGCCCTTTGGGATGCTCACTCTGCTTGCCAGACCCTCTGCTAGGTTGGCTCAGCTCACTGATTCAGCAGAAGACGAATCACCTTTTTGATGGGTTGATTCCTGTAGAAGTTTTTCAGACTTTTAGATCTAGTGCGAAGTGAGTAGCAGGAAAGTGGAGTCAGAGAAATGAAGGAGCCAGAGGAAAGTAAACACATGGTTTGTGACAACAGCGCTATTAGGTCAATTTATACAGTTGTCTGTAGAACAGTCAAAATAACTGGCTGTTTTAACGCGCATCTTTTATAAGTTTAGATAATTGAAAATGTTGTGTTTTATCACAGATACTTAAAACAATTTTTGGAATGGATTTTATAGTTTCTTTAAATGTTACTGTCTTCCTGTCTTTCAGGCTGAAGGTGGCCCATTGTAAGGGTTAATCGTCTGTCAAATATTTGATAATCATTTGTTAAGAAAATTACCTGCATTGTTCATGGTAAGGCTTATATTTGATATTTCACATTTAGTTTGTTATGGTGACACATTTAGGGTATTTCTTATGCTTTTTTAGTAGTAACATTTCCTTTAGCTGTAAGAATGACTTCTGCTGCGGTTGGATCATACATTTACTGGGAACTGCAACTTCACTGAGAAAGTTTTTGATTTTGGATGACTGAATCAGTAAATATTGGAATAAATTAACATATCGATACAAAAAATTATCCTTTATAAATTGCTATATATCCTCTAAAGTATATAACCTAAGGGAAGACCTTTATGTGTTCACAATCTTAAAGGACGTTTAAGAGCAATGCTTTTACAATTGGAAGGACTTTTTCTGGCCATATTAAGCAAAAAAAATTATTTGGCAATTCTTTTAGTGTGTAAATGACATCAGCTGTTGGGATTTTGTGACTTGGACTACTTTATAAAAGTTACAAAACTTTCCTTTGTTATTTTACAGGAGTTTTTCATCAGTATGTCTGAAACCATTAAATATAATGACGACGATCACAAAACTGTGTTCCTGAAAACATTAAATGAACAACGTTTGGAAGGAGAATTTTGTGACATAGCTATCGTGGTTGAAGATGTTAAATTCAGAGCACATAGGTGCGTGCTTGCTGCCTGCAGTACCTACTTCAAAAAGCTTTTCAAAAAACTGGAAGTAGATAGTTCATCAGTAATAGAAATAGATTTTCTTCGTTCTGATATTTTTGAGGAAGTTCTCAATTACATGTACACTGCAAAGATTTCTGTTAAGAAAGAGGACGTAAATTTGATGATGTCGTCAGGCCAGATTCTTGGTATTCGGTTTCTGGATAAACTCTGCTCTCAAAAACGTGATGTGTCTAGTCCTGAGGAAAACACACAGTCCAAGAGCAAGTACTGTCTAAAAATAAACCGTCCCATGGGGGAACCTAATGATACCCAAGATGATGAGGTGGAAGAAATTGGAGATCATGATGACAGTCCATCAGATGTGACGGTGGAAGGAACTCCCCCGAGTCAGGAAGATGGAAAATCACCTACCACTACCCTCAGAGTGCAGGAGGCCATTCTGAAAGAGCTGGGAAGCGAAGAGGTTCGCAAAGTAAACTGCTATGGCCAGGAAGTAGAGCCTATGGAAACCACCGAATCAAAAGATTTAGGATCTCAGACCCCTCAGGCTTTGACATTTAACGATGGCATAAGTGAAGTAAAAGACGAACAGACACCAGGCTGGACCACAGCTGCTGGGGATATGAAGTTTGAGTATTTGCTTTACGGTCACAGGGAACACATTGTATGTCAGGCTTGTGGTAAGACCTTTTCTGATGAAGCGCGATTGAGAAAACATGAAAAGCTACACACCGCTGACAGACCGTTTGTTTGTGAAATGTGTACAAAGGGCTTTACCACGCAAGCTCATTTGAAAGAGCACCTGAAAATACACACAGGTTACAAGCCTTACAGTTGCGAGGTATGTGGAAAGTCTTTTATTCGTGCGCCGGATCTAAAAAAGCATGAAAGAGTTCACAGTAATGAGAGGCCATTTGCATGCCATATGTGTGATAAAGCTTTCAAGCACAAGTCCCACCTCAAAGACCATGAAAGAAGACACCGAGGAGAGAAACCTTTCGTCTGCAGTTCCTGCACTAAAGCATTTGCTAAAGCATCTGATCTAAAAAGACACGAGAACAATATGCACAGCGAAAGAAAACAAGTTACTGCAGCCAATTCCATCCAGAGTGAAACAGAACAGTTACAGGCAGCAGCTATGGCTGCTGAAGCAGAGCAGCAATTAGAAACTATAGCTTGTAGTTAAAAACTAAAGCAGAAACTTTATCAGAAATAATATAAGAAATTAAATTGAACAAAATCTATTGTTGGTATACGTTTAGACTGAGAATTATCTATTCAAGAGAACATATTTTTAGAGGATTTGAATGCTACATAGGAATGCATAGCATTGCTTGGTTAGGTATTTTAAAACATTTCAGAGATGGGTATTCTTACAATATGAAATAGTTTTGTTGTCATTAGCAGTATAATGCACTAATACCTGATTCAATTTGAGAATATGATGAAATACGCTATAAAACAGGGATCATCACCGGCTGAGATTTTGTTTCATCCAGTGTGCAATAAGCATATGGTGTCGGCATCAAAATCAGTGAGTTATATGTAAAAACGCAGACATCTCAGAAAATAACAACCGTGGAAAGGAAATACTTGTTTTTCATAGTTTTGAAAGTGTTATGCCTACAGTTTTTGAGAAACAGATGATGATTCCCTAAGCTTTATAATTCCTCATTTTTTCACCTAATGTAGGTGCTAGAGGTTGGTACAACAGAGTGTAAGGGGGGACGGTGATCAAAATGAAATTGCTTCTTATTCCATTCCCTCAGGTATCCCCTTATTTTAATCAAGGTTGCAAATTTAATGAAATACTTGCTTTCCTGGAAAAACTGCATTATTCACAATGGTCCTGGCTGGCAAAGCAGAAAGGTTGCTGCGTTCACCAGTCCTTCTGTGAGGAAAAGAGTCTGCCTCGTTTGTTTCTGTGTTCACTCTTATGCAGGCCCCCGGAGGTGGGACAGAACCACGGAGGAAAAAGGGTGCAGCGTGGAGAAGGAGACACGTTCCTTATTCGGACCCAGTAGAAATTAGTTGAAGCTAATACAGCCCGAGGCTGTAGTTTTTGTTATGCAGCTTTCAGTTCGTTTCTGGCTGTATGGCGAGTGACTGGGTGGCACTGCCAGACCTCCGCAGCTGCAGAGCGCAGCCTCGGGCTGTCGCGTGCCTGCCCGCAGCCTTCAGGCTGGGTTTTCTGTCGTGGCTGGTCATACCAGCTAATAGGTCCCGTTCGAGTTTAAAAACTTATGTCTTCTGACACGCAACCTCTTGGCAAGAGGGAACTTCAAGTGAGCTATTTCAGTCATAACTGATCCAGAATCAGTGTTCACTAGTAGTCTGTTACTTAGAGTTGCCTATTTTTTTTTTTCAGACAAGCTGGGGTAGATGCTGCTAATTTAACTGTTAACTCACAGAGTCAACAAAGTAAGTGGTCTTTGGATTGCAGTCTGCTACGTGTAGTCAACAAGAGAAGACACAATAACAGTGGTAATGTAATCCAAAGGGATACTGAGCCTTTATTTTAAATTTGTAAATACTACAGCTGTTGTCAAAACTTCGTTTGAAGTTGGAATGGGAAGAAACCTGCACTCTTGGGCACGTGGTTGGGTAACATTGATTGCTTGCGATACCTGTAGCATATGAAAGTGTTAGACCAGTTTCTGGTAAGTTACTGTGTGGTAGATCACATCTTGCTTTTCTAAATAGAAGTTGAAAATAGCATTTTTGGAACTGTTATATGGAACTTTGATTATTGATTTTTTGTTTGGTTGGGTTTTTTTACAGCTTCCTTTTATTCATGTACTCATTGGGTTAAGCAGTCAACTTAAAATGCCAATAATTGTTTGAAAGCTGGTCTGTAAATAAAACATGAACTTAATATTTTAGAAAATGTAAACTTTGGACCTTTACCAATATATTTTTTTAAAATGTTGCTTCATTTTACATTCAGTAATATTAGTTTGTAAACAAACTATACATTTTGTATCTGTGCAACATCAGAGGATGTGTATTCATTGCATTTTATTGGTTCTCTTGAGGAACATGATAAATGACCATTGTTAAAATGTTTTACTGTATATGATCATAGATATAAAGATAGTAGGTCCAAAATGGGATCTACTTTTTTTTTTCTAAATATATTAGTCTTGCTATGTTTTCTTATCTAAAATTTTGTTCATTTTTTCTTAGATGATAAAATTGGGGTTGATAAGTCTGTACAAACCAGATCTGTTGTGATAAGAGTTCAAAAGTATGAAAGATGAAGAAAGTAAATTTTCTCTAGGTCTCCTATGAAGAGTGCAAGCAGTAATGATCTTCAATTACAGCAGTGAACATTTACATTAGACATTAAGAAAAACTTTTGAAGGGTTGAATAATCTATTGTTAGAACAGGATGCCTGGGGAGGCACTGCAATTTCCACTAATGGTGATATTCAAGAACGAGTTAGACAAACATCTGTTAGGAATGGTATAAATATAGTTAATACTGCCTTGAAGCTGAGGGATAAGCTAAATAGCCTGTCAAGAAGATCCTCATTGGTTTTTTTGGAAAGTAATTGGTGAAAATGGAACTCACTGGGACAGCAGACACTTGAATGGAAAGACAGAGCTCAAGGCTTACAGTTAAAGAAAATTGCCCTCTGACATTTGTGCACAGGCAGTCAGGCTGTGAATTTGAAATTGTTATAGAAAAGCAGGCTTGCATTAGAAGACACACAACTGAGAGTGTTATAGCATTGTGTTTTACATCAGAGTAAATTCTGCTATTGTTAAAGCTTACAGCTGTAAGAGTTATACAAGGTTACAGCTATAAGGGTTGCATGATGTTTTTAGCTTTTTAAAACTGGGACAGAATGATGTTACACATACTCCGATACAAAAGTCTGCAGAGGCAGGAACAAATATTACTGTTGCACGTTCCTTGGACAGGCATGAACACCTTACATGAGGTTTGATCTTAACAGCCTGTCACAGGAACAAGTTCAGCAAAACCAATGGAATTGCTCCCATGTCAAAGGTTTTGAAAGGGGGCTTGGCCCCATGCTGGTTTCTAGCTCCTTAAGTCAGAAAACTGCTGTATGTTCCTGAGACCAACAATGACAATAATGATCAGGAAGGCAAAGGCTCAATTATTTTGTGAAGTTGAGAATTTTGTTGGCAATTTCTACTAACGATATCTGTTTTAAGGATGTGAACTTACCTTACTTCTAGTCTTTTTGAATGCCAATAGATAATATTTTCTTCCCTTCCCAATTGTTTTTATTCAAGACAGGGAGAAGGCCTAGAGTACTTAAGCTTAAAGTTTTGGAAAAGGTTTCGGAAAAGAATGTGGAGGTAACCTTAGCTGCACATTATTGTTAGTGTGTTCTAAGTTAATCCTGTTCATTGTGTACATTCTGAAGGGTTGTTAGCTTGTATGTTACGAGGGCGTGTCTGTGAAGTTCAGATAAACCTGTCTGCATCTTAAGACATGACTGCTCCCAGCTCTCTCCTGTCTTGCCAGAAGATGCCATGTACAGGAGCAGATGTATGTCAGCTCCAAGCCACAGAGGATTTCCAGCATGATAAACCGTAAGCTATGAGCTGTTGATCAAGAAATGAGCAGGTTTTTATTTTTGCTTTTTTAAGAATGGCAACTTCTTTCAGAGCTTATAAGACAGTGGATGATACTCTGTCCAATTAGTGGGAATTCTGCTGCTGACTTTACTGGGGCCAGACTAGCCTAATATTCCTGACAAAGTTGTCCAGGCAAATTAGCTGATTGGTGTGCATGCAGGAGTGACAGAATGCTTTAGAAACATAGATAGCTAAAATAACATTCGGTGTGAATCAATTGTTTTTCTCAGAATTAAGTAGCAAAAAGATCATTCATGGAATTGGTCCTAAACATACACTCCTCCATCTATGGCTTGTGAGATTGGAGTCAGTTATGTCTGTAATATACATAGGATAGCAAAAATTTGGTTACTGTTTTGGCTTATGCTGAATGTCTGTCCATGTCATGATGTTAGGTGGCTAAGTGGCTTCAGTGGAACTCTCCGTGTATTGGAATTAAGTATAGGGATAGGTGTTTGCGTGACCAGGGCTGATGTGTATAATGCAGCAGCGTATTAGTTGATGTGAAATGACGTGGTTCTGGTGACCCAAATGGGTCTGTATGGTCAGCACCAGTTGAGACACCAAAGCAAAGTGTTCTCAGTTGCAGAAACATCTAAGTATTAAGGAAGCATAATCATTTATTTGAAAGTCTTTGTGTTTTAAAAGACTAAATAACTTAGAGTGAAAAGAGATATTTGAAATAAGATCGTTGCTGTTCAGTGATCTTAGCTGTGTGTTCTTAAAAATGATGGTGTGGTTTTTGTAAAGGGAAAAGGCACAAAGAGAACACTGAACTCTGGTATCTGATTAATTTCTGATCCAAATTGTGTTAGCCATGGGTGTGCAGCTGGTTATCTGGCACAACTCAGTTTGGAAACTGCAAAAGTTCAGGAAAATACGTGCTAGCCCTTCTTCACTCCCCACCCCCTCTTCTATGCACCCTTCTTATCTATATTTAAACAAATATTAGAAAATGAAGCAATTCACAGTTGAGTGCTTGTGTTTTCGTTGTTATGCTTTAGTATCTGAAAAATGTTTAAGCCTGGAGATCAGGGTTTAAGGTTGCGTGAAAGAAAATGCTGACTTAACTAGCAAGATTTTGAGGAGATTAGCTTCTATTTCATGTAAACTGCAGAATACTAAATACTCATCAAAATCTTGCCATTTAGGTACCCAAACTGGAGTTCTTTTGAAGATCAGGTCCTAATTTTCTAATCTAGAGATTGTGTTCATGATTCCAGTGAATAAGGATGTTGAATAGCTGGGTGAGATACAGAGTGAAACATCAGATGACATCAGAAAGTCTACCCTAAGCTTAGAGTATACATTTAGGGACAGATTATCTGTTCCTGAGTCTTTTATCAATTTAAACACCTCCCTGTCTTGCAGGAGAGACAAAGCATTTCTGAAACAAAGTACATCTACTGATAAGAAGATCCTACTTTTCTGAATGTAAACATTTACACGTCAGTACAGAATAGGATGATTCTACCTAGAAGGTAAAGACAGACCCAGGGAATTTTCATCTCTTTCAAACAGCTAATCTGTAGATCACAGTAGTATGCCCAGTCAGACAGAAATGTGCATGTTTCATTAAA